CAGTTGAACCAGTGTCCTTTGACACTGTAATTATTTATTGCCACTGGCCTATTAACATATTTAAAAAAAACTTTTAACAGTTATTTTTGAGAGACAGAGAGAGACAAAGCACAAGCAGGGGAGGGGCAGAGAGAGAGGGAGATACAGCAGGCTCTAGGCTCTGAGCTCTACGTGGGGCTTGAACCCATAAACTGTGAGATCATGACCTGAGTAGAAGTCAGATGCTTAACCAGCTGAGCCACCCAGGAGCCCTGACCTACCAATATTTTAAGAGTGTAAGTTTCTTTCTTTTGTACTCGTTTTTCTTATAAAGGGCATTTACAAATTCTTAGCCCTTTTATTTAAGACTTTGGCATAGTAAACTAGTTTGTTGTTTAGCAAATATTCACTCCTTCTTCTACTTTGAGCTTGGCAATATGACTTGCTTTGGCCAGTGGGGTGTTAGTGACGTCATGTGAACATAGCCTTCAACTGTGTTTGTGTCCTGGGCTTTCCTCTTGTGTTTTGGCCATTACAATTAAAATAACATACTCTGGGTAGTAGTGTCCCACTCCCTGGGCCCCAGAATCAAACACTTGAAGCCAACCTGGTAATCTACAGTCTACAGCAGTTGGCCCAACCAACCAGCAAACACTTACGGGAAGAATAAATGCTTATTGTTATATGCCACTGATTATGTGGTTATTGGTTGCACACCAAAAACTGTTATGTAGAGTGAAAGTAAATGATAGACCAAGCTCTACCATTTACTAGTTGAGCTAGAATGTCTGTATCTGTAAAATGAGAGGTTTGCATTCATTGGATCCTAAGTTACTTAACAACATTTAAAACTCATGATTCTTGAGTATACTATTTATTACAGTATATTTCCAGAAAACAAGTCAAAATATAACCAGTATATAATGAACTCTAGAGAAGGATGGATAAAAAGGAATCCTAGAATTTCTCTGATTAATTTTATTTTTTTTTAAAGCAGAAAGATTGGGGTTTCATTGGATGGTGTTCAATATACGACTCTGGTCAGCTACAAAAGCCAAAAAGTATGTCCGGAGAGGAGGCTTCCGGACTGACTTCCATGTCAGTTGGTTGCAGAGTACTTAGAGGGTAACATGGTATCTTTTCACTAAGTCAGCCTTCAGGGATGTAGACTTACAGATCATATGCAGGCTCTACTCACTGTGAACTCTCTAAGAACACAGTATATTCATCAACTGCCATAAGACAATATTTAACATATAATGGAGAAGAATAACACGATTGAGTGAAAAATGTAAACTACAGAGTGCTGAAATGGCAATTTGCTTTTTCTCTTTGCTTTTCCTTGAGGGATTTTAACCTTCATATAGGGGATTCCTGCTTTGCAGGAGAGGTGGGGTTATACCATATGTAACATCATACCCAACCTTAAAATATCATGACATCATGAAAGAACGAGATTATTTGAAGCATTTGTATGTAAGAACCTCAGTGATTCCCCCCCCCACCATTTGTTAATGGTAGATACTTTCAGAGCTCTAAAAACCCCTAACTTCCTGCCTAAAAAAGGCAGAAATCTCTTTAAATATTTTTTGTGCCTTATTAGATACTTAATTTAAAAATTTCCTTTGACCACAGATTTCCTCTAGTTATTCAATTGCTGTTTATATGCATGCCAAGGAATTGTTTCCACAAGGACAACATATTTCTAAAATCAAACTTGTTCACTGGCAAAATTAATATTTATTTGTAATGAAATTATTTGTGAGAAGGACAATAATACACATTAAAATTTGTCATTTAAGTAATATTTTTGAAGAAGGAAATGCTCTTATGCAATATGACTGAAATGCTCTGGGGAGCTCTGAGATCGTTTTTTCATTAAATAGATCTGAAATTATGTGAACAACTAGAACATGAGAAAGGAAAGAGGAAAACAAAGTTTAGAACACTAGGGAGCGAGAAAATAGACTGCGAAGGGAACAGCGATTTGTTCAAGGTTACCCAGTGAATCAGGAACAAAGAGGAAGGTTGGACTTATGCCAAAAGCCAAAGTATATCTACATTAATGGCTGTGCACTAAATCTGCATTTTCAATAGATGATGTACTCATGTTTATATGGGGGAAGATAGTCATATTTACCATCCTCTCAGGGCCTACCATGTGTTACTACATAAGTTTTTATTATTTACATAAAATGATAAACACTTAGAAGCCAGAAGTTAACAAAGCATGATTTCATGGTTCCTGGGAGGCTCAGTCAGTTAAGTGTCCCACTCTTGATTTCAACTCAGGTCATGATCTCATGGTTTGTGAGATCAAGTCCCAAGTCTGGCTCAGTGCTGACAGTGTGGAGCCTGCTTGAGATTGTCTATCTCCCTCTCTCTCTCTCTCTGACCCTCCCCTGCTCTCTCTTTCTCTCTCTCAATATAAATAAATGAACTTTAAAAAAAAAAAAGCATTATTTCGCATACATAATTTCATTTCATCCCCACAATCACCTCTGAGGTAGGTATTATAATTCCTGTCTTAAAGATAAATTTAGATCCAGAAAAATTAAATGACTTGCTGAACAACACATTGTCACGAAACACATTGGGATATTTTCACCACAGCAAACGGGTCAGCAACCCTCTCTAAAGATACTATTTAAGGAAGCTCAAAGAGGTTTTGCATTAAGTACAAAAAAGTTGAAGATTAAAAAAAAAAAGACCCTTTGAAGAACTCAAATTTGTATACAAAGTTGATATTTAGGGAATAGAAAGCAATTTGATTAATTTGTTATATGTAGTGATTTTACTAGCTAATTAGCTGTGATATCAGTCAAGTAGGTCTGCATAAAATCTTTAAATTCTGTTGATAAATTATTTGTACATGAGGGCATCTGGCCATTCAGGCATGAGAATCCTAAGAGACGGCTTTGAAATAATACAGATCTACCAAAGAAAGCAGTCCTACTTACAAAATCAAGTCTGTGCTCCATGTCTACTTCAAAGCACTGTTCATCTGCCTTGCCTATGAATATAGCAAATAATTTTTCTAGAGTAAAAACACAGAATTCCTTAAAATATACATGAATCTCTGTCCCAAAGCTATTGGGGCCTCTGTGACAAGTTGTCTTCCACCCAAATCCACGTGTAGCAGAGGAGAAAGCAAAGTTTTTCCAAGCGGAGAGAAAACAAGTGAGAAAAGGTGGAAATATAAGAGGTTGTATGATAAAGAGTTAAGTGAGATCTCGATCTCCTTACCCAGTCTATCTACATTCATTCTTGGCTCTGCTCCTAACTGTGCAACCTTGAAAAAGTTACTTAATCTCTTTATGATTCAGTTTTTGGATCTGTAATATAAAGAAAGTAATAGAACCTATCTTACAGGGTTGTTTTAAGGATTGAGTTAATATTTGTTAAGTACTTAGTGTCAGGTATACAGTAATACTAATATAAATGTTTGATTAGTGAAGGAAGATGGGGAGAGTGAGAGACAGAATAGTGGACACTATGTGTCTTTAATGTATTACTTTGCTTCCTACTAACAGGATCCTTGTCTTTCCAGAACTGGGGCCACTGATTCCTACCAGTAAGCTTTTAACCCCATTTCTTGTCTGACCCCAAACGACTCTTGTTCAGAAAGATTTAGGAAGCCCTAGCTCAGTAGTTCAGGTGAGTCAGCACTAAGTCAAGCTTGTTGTTATTTTTATCCTGACCCTGTGTCCCAGTTTCAGTCACTTGTTCCTGTAATCAAGTCCCAACCTTGTATTCCAATTCTAGCATTATTCTCCCCTGTGGCGGAGTCCTGGCTTGGAGGATCAGCTCAGGATCTCCAGTTCTTTGAGGCAGAAGCCACCCAAAGGGTAGCCTCTGGACTACTGGCACACAGTGCATGAACTTTGGAAAATCAGTTGTCTATATTTAAAAATTCCAAACCTTTACATAAAAATTCAAATATCCAACTTCTCTAGAAAAGTTAGATGATTTGGTAACACTTGGTCCCCATCTCTTTTTGGTACCAATCCACTGGAGCCAAGTGGCGGCTGCCCCCTTTGGAACTCGATTCCCTGCTGTCCCCATGCCTTTTCCTTCATTTATTTCTGGGAGTTACTTTGTCCTTGTAGGCATTTAAGGTTGGGTCTAAGAGTTAGAATAGCGATACTTACCAAGCATTTACATTGCGCCAGGTAATTTTTCAAGTGCTTCATGAGTTTTATTCATTTAATCAAAGACCAGGCATCTGTTCTTATCCAACCTCCCTGCAGTCCTTCTCCTTGCTTCAAATCCTCTGTCTGTACACACACCTGTGTTTGTCCCATCTTCCCCAATCACTACTGTCTATCCATTAGCTAGGGTCACACATAAAGCCTTGTCACACCTCCAAAATGTCAACTGCTCACCCACACTGTGGCCTGCTGCCACCCTCCAATCTCCCCTGCTGAGTCAAACTTTGTTGTTCAAGAATTTTGGCCATTATAGTGGTTGTACTTAATCCCAGGCTTTACCCATTTGTCTGATTCTAGTATCTATCTCATGCTCCAGGCTTTCATAAAACCATGCCTTTCATTATACATAGAAAGACTACACCCTTAAAAAATGTGTTCCAACTCTTGTTAGAAACCCAGCAAAATCCATCAAATATTTGATAGCTTACTTATGTTGAATGTGCTACCACAGAAATTTGATTTAATTATTCCTTTACTAAGAAACCCAAAGAAGTTTATCCATCTCTTCTATAAGCAATTCAGTATCTTTTCAGGGAACCACCCAGGAAACTAACATTTTTTTTAATACAATGGGCTTTTTTCCCCTATGATAGGCCCTTATGTTTTCCAAAACAATGAATGAAAGAGAAAACTATTTGCATAACTAAGCTGAGATTTAGCAAATATCAAAACAGAACTCACAAAACTCTTTCTACACATTTCATAAGATTATCTGGACTGGGTAGAATTGAAAATGTATTGAATTTTAAATTTAGCTCATTAAATTCTAACATAATTTTTAAAGAAAGTCTTAATAAAAATGTTACTTACATAAGGAATCGTGTCCAAAGTATCTGTGTTGACAATTATAGGAGCAGGGCTGGCCTAAAAAAGAGACACAAGAAAAAAAATTAAATAACAGGTAATCTATTCTGAGATAGGATCTGTTCAACTTATTTAACAGAGTTCAACAGTATTTCTTGAGAACCTGTAAAGGCACTATGTCAGGGTTTCAAGGGATAAATGAAATGTCTTGGAATTCCCTGAAACCACCTTCCTTCAAGTATTTGCTATATTGACTACATAATGAAATGAAGTAAGCAGTTAAATTTGTACTCATTTTCCCTTTAATTCTACCCAGCAGTAGGAGGTGAGGATTTGAGCTGTATATGAGGTAAGAATTTCTAATAAATTGGGTGAGTAAAAATGTATAGCATTTCTTTATAAAATGGCTATACAAAATAAATTTAATTTCTCTCTCATGGAAGCAAAATTTAACCTAAAGCAATATTTGTAACCCTCCTCTTTAAACTGCCTTTTGAGAATATGTTGAAATAGAAAGATTCACTTATTGACATCTTATATGTATATTTACCTATTATATATTCTGTACCATATCTTTCAACATTTGTGATTTTCTGATCATGTACCTTAGAAATCCTTAGCTAGAAAATTACAAACTAGTCAAAGGTGGCATAAAATCATTATGAGTATGCTAAACTTCCTTTTTTAAAAAACATGTACAACCTGCAGTCATTCCCTTTAAAGCTGGGTAGGAATCTGTGTAACACTGATACAGAAGTGCTACAAGCCAAGTCATTAGAAAATGAGAGATTGCAATCTCTATTTGCATCAACCAATCTGACTTCATGAATATTGAGCAGATCTATCTTTATTTTCTAGTTTCTAGAATTTTCATAGCATCTTTTCCTTCATCCCCTGCAGGATCTTTAATCTCCTTCCCAAATTGCAGATTTCATTTAGATAGAAAAAATACTCTCATCATGGTAAATCCAGAGCTGTCCTATAAGACATGGTAGTTTTGGCAAGTGCTCAACTTTTGGGACATTTCATTAGCTGTGCCCTCTGGAGTTAACAGAGTTAACAGCTTTTAAATGTCAATCTGTTAATCAAATGATTAAAAAAATGGCAATCCAGCAGATTTTACAAAACAAAATTCCATGTTTTAACATAACACACCAGGCATTGAAAACATGAGCCTGGTCTATATGTGTCCATAGTGAGCCAACTAGATGTTCACAGTTTATTCATTAACTCCTAATAGCAAGTACCTTTAGGGTGAATAGGGGCTTTGGAGAAAGACAGTTTTCACAGGATCCCAACAAAACAAACAAACAAACAAACAAACACAAACAAACAGACCCTAAACACCTGCATACAAAAAGGCAGTTCTTATTAAGAGGCATGTGGTGGTGTAGGGAGAAGAACAAGAGGTTTGGAGTTAGAGAAACTGGGCTCAAGTTTGGTTTAGCAACTTTCTGATTATACGTTTTGGGGCTGAGCAACTTTCTGATGATGAGATCTGGAGGCAATTACACTAACTCCCTTTGTCTCATTTTCTTTCTCTGTAGAATGGGGATAGAAATAATCATCTTCTGAAAGAGTCATTTGAAGAATAAGTGAGATGATATATTTGAATGTGCTTTGTAAACTTACATTTCAGAATCAATATTAAATATTATTATTAGCAGCCCTAAAGACAGACCACTGTAAGAATATATTATTGACTGGTTTGTGAATTGTTTACACCCCAGAGATTCCAAAGCCATGATAGTGGCTACAATCACACTAAAGAAAATTAAAGATTAGACCATGTGACTTACTATTTATTAAATATATATTACTTGCCCAGGTATAAGAAAATGCACATATATCCTCATTTAATCTCCACAAAACCATAGTGATAAAGCATTATTATCACTATCCACATATTATAGATGAGAAAATGGAGGCTCAGGGAAAATAAGAGCTGAGATTTAACACTGGCCTTTCTGACCTCAAAATCCATTTTTTTTTTTCCACACTAAGTTGCTCCATGATCTGAGTATCTAGGTGGCTCAGTTGCAAGAGTCCTGCAGTGATTGCAGATCTCGAGGTAAAGCAGCATACAAGATTCTGGCAAACCAAAGACCACCCTGGAGGCAAGAGCTGCCTTAAGTCTTACATATCAGATATTGAAAGCAATCTGGTGATGCCTGAATGGTTACTGTTGTTGTCTTCCTCTTCTGTTTTTTAGTTTTTACTTCCTCTCTTCTATGCTTTCTAATTGGTTCCCAGGACTCTTCTAAAACATTTGTGCCTTGCCCCCTTGACCAGACTGAAAGCTTTCCAAGTATTACACCCAAGACTTATATTTAGTACAATTTGATCAATAAATATGTATTGATTTGATTCAACCCATCTTACTTTTGTTTTTCCTCTTACAGATTATATTAACATGACCTAGGAATAAATTTTGTATGCAAGCCCATTTCCTTTATGATGTCATTTATCCCTTTCATATGTTTATGCTGTGATTTTCCTTTTCATATACATAAATTCAGGTTGTTTAAAAAATGACAAGGATTAAATATTTTCCTAGAATTCTTCACAGCACTTGGTTACACCAAAGGAGCTCAGCAACAACTTAGGAATTACTGGCTAAATGTTGATATAAAGTATAGGTGAGGGTGTAAAGGAAAGTAATAGCTCTTTGTAAGCTCGTAAGCTCAGGAGAGCATTTCTAGGATAACTCCAAAATCTCCCATGTTACCAACAAAACTGTGACTACTTTTCCAGATTATCCACTGTCACTATCTTTCCTTAATCAGTCCCTATTGCTTAACTATCCAGCTTTTATGAAATATTGATTATTTCATAACTGTAAGCTGTAAAGGTTGTGAAGTATAATCTATGTTATGTGGAAAGCTCCTTATTGAGTAAAAAAGATTCGGAAGCCCCCTTTAATGCCTGCATCTTTTAATGTCATTAAAAATGCATGAACGAACAAAATGTATAGATTGTTTGAACATACACATACAGCACATACATCTGACACTGACAAATCCCAGGCATGAATGCCAAGATGTCATGGTTGGCTGTTCTGTATCCCACTGCTGCTATATCTGGCTCTCTGAAGATCAGATCTCCCATTGCTTTGTTTCAGGACCCTCATGACCCTCCCCAGACTGTTTTCACAGAAGCTTCTTGAAGGTACTCAATGATACAAGTCAGCAGAGAATAAAAATCCCAAGTGGTGACAGAGTATAGTTGAATTCTAAGTATGGCCCATGAGTGTGCTTCTGTAACCAGTTGTGAATTTCAGATCTCCCCATGGCTCATCCTGGCTTCTGTTTCTTTTCTCGCTTTTGAAATCATGTGAGTCCATGCCTAGTTTGATCAGGTCTGGTTTTAGATTCTTAAAACCAGTTCCCTAGTTGCTTTGATGGTTCCCACTAAGCTTTATCTCCACAATTCTTACTGCCCTGCTGTACACATAGTCTCTTTAATTGGGTATTGGGTATTCTCTTTAATTGAACTCCTAAATCAAACTGGTGACAGCAGATTCCAGTGTCCAACTTCAATATGCTGATTTCCATTAAATGGAAAGAAATTTTTAACAAATATGAAAAAATCATTTTTTAATTTATTTTTATTATTTATTTATTTTTACTTTTAGCAAGAGAGATAAATAAGCAGGGAGAGAGAATGAGAGAGAGAGAGAGACAGAGACAGAGACAGAGACAGAGAGAGAGAATCTTAAGCAGGTTCCATGCTCAGCACAGAGCTGGGTGTGGGGCTCGATCCCACAACCCTGGGATCACGACCTGAACAGAAATCAAGAGTCCGATGCTCAGCTGACTGAGCCACCAGGTGCCCCTGAAAAAAAATCTTTTAATGAGAAGTTTCAAGTCTTGTCTTTATATAAATATAGCCAAGGATTTTTGAAACTATAAAGGCTTAAGAAACCAATCTCTCTTAGGTGACCCAAACTATGAGATATACATGGTTTGCATTTTATATTACATTCTTTATATGTGCAGAAAGCAAGTTTACAGCAAGAGGGAAGTATAAAGTTAATTGTAGAAAAGCGAAAAGCAAACAGAGAGAATACTGAAAAATTGAAGTTGTTAGATCAAGTTATTCATGAATTCCCACCACTTTCCTCTTTGAGCTCCATAGGATACCCAAATACCTTTACATTACATCAATAACTTTGTTCATCCCAGTAAAAGATAAACCACTGCTCTTTGCCACAAAGAAAATAGTGACATAGATTTACTAAAGATCTGCAATTGCCCCTGAGCATCATCACTACCTGAAATCTTATGGGACCATGACCAAGCCACAGCCAGATCTTCGGTGTATTAACACTGGGGTGGGTAAGAAGAAAGTCAAGCATTTATATAGCACTTATTTATATAATTAACTTATTTAATCTTCACATAACCCAATGAGTCAAATACCATTATTCTCTATTCACAAGTGAGGAAGTAGAGTTTCAGTAATTTTTCCAAAGTCAGACATATGGTAAATATACCATCTTCAAACCTAGACAGTCTAGCTCAGAATCCATACTCTTGACAATTATACTCTACTGTCTCTCAGAACGGAATTGGAATTTACAAGAACTCTTTGGATTCTAACTACTGTTGTTCACTAACAGGTCAGAAGCCAGCTCAAAGCAAAGTTAGATATATACACCTTGATCCTGGCTGGTGGCAGAGCCTTCCCCTCCTCACTCTGGCCCAGTTACAGGGGTCCAGAAACATCATGTGAACAGGCCTACAGGAGGCATGGCTTAGAAGAAGGTAATAAGTGTCAGTCTAATGGCAGAATTCTAGCAAGCTGCTTGCCTTGTTTATCACTGCAAAGATTAAATGCTTTTGGGGGCTGCTCTCCCAGCCAATCTAGTGAAAACCAAAGGTGATTTGAATGTTAACGTTAGTTTGGGAAGATATAGTCAGGCATAGCCAGGCTGACTAAGTCTGGATGTTTTAAGTAAGCTCCAAGAAAATTTCTGGTAAATGACTGATTAAAGACATATTGATGGCTGTGTGAGAGAGAAACAAAATAGAAGAAACACACCCACTTTAGAATTACAA